GGAGGCTTCGCTGGGGAATGTGGCCTCGGCCGCAGGGGAACCGCTTGAACTTAGTTCCTAAACTCGAACCAGGGCTCCTTTCAAGGTCTTTTATTTGAGGACCCGAGTTTGAAGCAATTACGGATTTTAGGGGTCACACGTTGATTTTTGGCCGCATGGCTGCGGGACATGACTGTTTTGGCACGTTGTCCTACCAGTAAAGTGCTTCGAAGGCTGAGCCTCGGACCACATTGCCGATGTGGCCAACCTATCCAACATAAAACTAAGTGTGCACGACATGAACTTCGCGTGGCAGGGCTTACTCTTTCGGCCCTCATGATTTGCATCGAATACTGCCTGACAGAAGGGCGACACGGGCCTCGACTGAATGATCTGCTGCAGCAGCAACCTCGCGCAGCCATGCGAGACTCGTGAGAGCTCGGTCCAGGCCCCTCCAACCCGAACTCCTCCGCCTGGGACGAAGTGGACGCCGAGGACACTCCTTTGGAGGGGTCCGAGGAAGCACCAGCCAGGGCCTGGAGTTCCGCAGACGATGTTCAAGCGCTTCGGACTACATCAGCATGACAAAATGGGAGCAGCCTTGGCTTTGGCGGCGCTTGCGGCACCATTGCCCATTCTGGTAGCCAAGCAGCTTTGTACAGCTTTGCAAGGTTGTTTGGCTTTGGGGTTGGGATGTATGTTCATCGAGGCTTGCTGTGAGCTCCGGCTACGATTCGTCTGCATGCCCTGTGCCTTATCCTTAGCGTTAGCGGGTGAAATTGATGGGGAAAATTGGGAAAACAGGGGCACGGTCTAAGGCCTGCATCCATCGAATCCAAACTGCAGATGCCGAGTCTCTGCGTTGCTCTGCTTCCCGATGTGCCCACACTCTCTGCACGCATTTGCATGCACTGCTACACAAATGTCAGCTTTGGGATCGGCAGAAACAGTCAACTTGTAGCCACGGCTAGCATGCTCATGAACCTCAAGACTCCGAAGCGACGTCCTGACCTTGCGCCATCCCGAACATTTTGCGATGCGTTCAAACGCGCTGTTCGCTCTTCCCCCCTTACCCCAATGCTGTGCTGCCAATGGTGGGCTTCGTATCAACATTAGACAACCATTCGACTTTAACATATCGGTTCGTTCAAAATGGAACGGCCCACAGGCAAGCACGAGCAGTCCGACCAAGCTGGAATGCACATTGACACCCCAAAAGGACTTGGCCGGCGACTGGCCCTCAGCAAGGATTGGTCACAGAGCAGGTGCTTCCGCTGAGTTGCGCAATTGCATTGGCAGCAGTTTCAAGGGCTGCAAAGCCATCCGAGATCTTCGCGCCGCCCTGCTCATAGTCGCAACAACCGGCATCCTTGACGCATGTCATATAGGTGGTGAGCGCATCGCAGCCGCTTCCAGCGGTGCAGGAAGTGACCGCGCTCGTGTCGCACCCGCAGCCATGGAGTACTGAGACGAGCATGACCATCAGTGCCGCGAGTGCTGTCCTTGCCAGTGCCATGACGACAGGAGAAGCGAAGGAGAACAGAAGCTAAGGAGAAGCTACCTGCTGCCAATCCAGGGGCCAACGGACTGCATCGGAAACAAATAGCTTCAAGGCTGCCGCGTGCCTCGACGAACCTGGTCACTTGCACGGACGTGAAATCGTGAAATAGACTGCCGCAACGGATTTCTGCTCATTCAGTAGTCGATTCCATCTGAAACTGTCTCAAACTGCTGGCTTTGACCCTCTTCACCTTGTGCCATCCCGAACATTTTGCGATGCGTTCAAACGCGCTGTTCGCTCTTCCCCCCTTACCCCAATGCTGTGCTGCCACTGCTGGGCTTCGTATCAACATTAGACAACCATTCGACTTTAACATATCGGTTCGTTCAAAATGAAACGGCCCACAGGCAAGCACGAGCAGTCCGACCAAGCTGGAATGCACATTGACACCCCAAAAGGACTTGGCCGGCGACTGGCCCTCAGCAAGGATTGGTCACAGAGCAGGTGCTTCCGCTGAGTTGCGCAATTGCATTGGCAGCAGTTTCAAGGGCTGCAAAGCCATCCGAGATCTTCGCGCCGCCCTGCTCATAGTCGCAACAACCGGCATCCTTGACGCATGTCATATAGGTGGTGAGCGCATCGCAGCCGCTTCCAGCGGTGCAGGAAGTGACCGCGCTCGTGTCGCACCCGCAGCCATGGAGTACTGAGACGAGCATGACCATCAGTGCCGCGAGTGCTGCCCTTGCCAGTGCCATGACGACAGGAGAAGCGAAGGAGAACAGAAGCTAAGGAGAAGCTACCTGCTGCCAATCCAGGGGCCAACGGACTGCATCGGAAACAAATAGCTTCAAGGCTGCCGCGTGCCTCGACGAACCTGGTCACTTGCACGGACGTGAAATCGTGAAATAGACTGCCGCAACGGATTTCTGCTCATTCAGTAGTCGATTCCATCTAAAACTGTCTCAAACTGCTGGCTTTGACCCTCTTCACCTTGTGCCATCCCGAACATTTTGTGATGTGTTCAAACGCGCTGTTCGCTCTTCCCCCCTTACCCCAATGCTGTGCTGCCACTGGTGGGCTTCGTATCAACATTAGACAACCATTCGACTTTAACATATCGGTTCGTTCAAAATGGAACGGCCCACAGGCAAGCACGAGCAGTCCGACCAAGCTGGAATGCACATTGACACCCCAAAAGGACTTGGCCGGCGACTGGCCCTCAGCAAGGATTGGTCACAGAGCAGGTGCTTCCGCTGAGTTGCGCAATTGCATTGGCAGCAGTTTCAAGGGCTGCAAAGCCATCCGAGATCTTCGCGCCGCCCTGCTCATAGTCGCAACAACCGGCATCCTTGACGCATGTCATATAGGTGGTGAGCGCATCGCAGCCGCTTCCAGCGGTGCAGGAAGTGACCGCGCTCGTGTCGCACCCGCAGCCATGGAGTACTGAGACGAGCATGACCATCAGTGCCGCGAGTGCTGCCCTTGCCAGTGCCATGACGACAGGAGAAGCGAAGGAGAACAGAAGCTAAGGAGAAGCTACCTGCTGCCAATCCAGGGGCCAACGGACTGCATCGGAAACAAATAGCTTCAAGGCTGCCGCGTGCCTCGACGAACCTGGTCACTTGCACGGACGTGAAATCGTGAAATAGACTGCCGCAACGGATTTCTGCTCATTCAGTAGTCGATTCCATCTGAAACTGTCTCAAACTGCTGGCTTTGACCCTCTTCACCTTGTGCCATCCCGAACATTTTGCGATGCGTTCAAACGCGCTGTTCGCTCTTCCCCCCTTACCCCAATGCTGTGCTGCCACTGCTGGGCTTCGTATCAACATTAGACAACCATTCGACTTTAACATATCGGTTCGTTCAAAATGGAACGGCCCACAGGCAAGCACGAGCAGTCCGACCAAGCTGGAATGCACATTGACACCCCAAAAGGACTTGGCCGGCGACTGGCCCTCAGCAAGGATTGGTCACAGAGCAGGTGCTTCCGCTGAGTTGCGCAATTGCATTGGCAGCAGTTTCAAGGGCTGCAAAGCCATCCGAGATCTTCGCGCCGCCCTGCTCATAGTCGCAACAACCGGCATCCTTGACGCATGTCATATAGGTGGTGAGCGCATCGCAGCCGCTTCCAGCGGTGCAGGAAGTGACCGCGCTCGTGTCGCACCCGCAGCCATGGAGTACTGAGACGAGCATGACCATCAGTGCCGCGAGTGCTGCCCTTGCCAGTGCCATGACGACAGGAGAAGCGAAGGAGAACAGAAGCTAAGGAGAAGCTACCTGCTGCCAATCCAGGGGCCAACGGACTGCATCGGAAACAAATAGCTTCAAGGCTGCCGCGTGCCTCGACGAACCTGGTCACTTGCACGGACGTGAAATCGTGAAATAGACTGCCGCAACGGATTTCTGCTCATTCAGTAGTCGATTCCATCTGAAACTGTCTCAAACTGCTGGCTTTGACCCTCTTCACCTTGTGCCATCCCGAACATTTTGCGATGCGTTCAAACGCGCTGTTCGCTCTTCCCCCCTTACCCCGATGCTGTGCTGCCACTGGTGGGCTTCGTATCAACATTAGACAACCATTCGACTTTAACATGTCGGTTCGTTCAAAATGGAACAGCCCACAGGCAAGCACGAGCAGTCCGACCAAGCTGGAATGCACATTGACACCCCAAAAGGACTTGGCCGGCGACTGGCCCTCAGCAAGGATTGGTCACAGAGCAGGTGCTTCCGCTGAGTTGCGCAATTGCATTGGCAGCAGTTTCAAGGGCTGCAAAGCCATCCGAGATCTTCGCGCCGCCCTGCTCATAGTCGCAACAACCGGCATCCTTGACGCATGTCATATAGGTGGTGAGCGCATCGCAGCCGCTTCCAGCGGTGCAGGAAGTGACCGCGCTCGTGTCGCACCCGCAGCCATGGAGTACTGAGACGAGCATGACCATCAGTGCCGCGAGTGCTGCCCTTGCCAGTGCCATGACGACAGGAGAAGCGAAGGAGAACAGAAGCTAAGGAGAAGCTACCTGCTGCCAATCCAGGGGCCAACGGACTGTATCGTACGCCCCTTATCTGATCGGCTTCTGAAGGTGTGTCCCCGATTGCAAACTTTGCTTTTCCTTAAATCTGCAGGCATGATCGATGTTGCCAGGTTTTTCTGGCATTCCAGTGTGCCCTTCGGGCACGCGGGTGTCTCACTGCGGAAAGCTCACACACTCAATGACAAAGGCTGCACTTTAAGATGTCCCCATGCTTGAGAAAATGCAGTGAAGTCTCAACAAAGGTCTCGAAGTGGGTCCCCAGTGAAACCGAACTACTCTTGATTCAACAGGCTGTGTTCTCAGGTCCTCGGCGGTGGGGGCGCAAGCTTTGAGAATCGGCATGAGACTGAGGGCTCGGCGTCTTTTGAACTCTGAGACTCAGAGAAATTGAGGCAGGTCTGGCCTTGTGCCACGGCAAAAGCTCCCTCTCCGTCTGCTGACGTCACGCTTGAGAGCCAAACAGGCACCAGCAGAAGCCCGACAGTTCACCTGGAGCTGTGTTTTGGCGGATAGATGAGGCTGCGCGTGAGGCTAAGATGTAGCGTGCTGGGGCTCAGGGGCCCCGGCTCTGCTATGCATGCATTGGAGATCGCACGCGCCCACATCTGCATCTCCTGCTACTGTAGGGGCCGGAAAACGGATAGAAAGAACAGGAAAGAAACATGAAACGCTGTGAAGTCCTCTTCAGAGGTCAGCTGCAGTTCCAGCCACAGTGCCTCACGTCTCACATGAACGCTTGAAAATGCTTTCAGCTGCATCACGAGCCACTGAGGCTGCACGCTTCGAAGAGCTGAAATCGGCCGTCTGCCAAAAGGAAGCAGAGCCTCGATAGTCGAGGAAAAGCGCTCGCAGTCGATGGCAAGGAACCAGCTTCTGCTGAGTTGCCGCAAGGGCTCACGAGCAGAATCCCCGAAAGGACCTGAAAAGCTGCAGGTGCAGGCGGGAAAAGAATCAGGTCGGCTCCGAAGACCCTGTAAATGCAATGCATGCAACACCTGCCACATCGTCATCAGCAGACTTCTTCATCCTGCAACTTCAGTCGTCAGGATGAAGGCACGTGACGACAGCCATCAAGGGAAGGGCTGCAAACAAATGAGAATCGATGGCTGCAAGTTCATTTGCAGCAGACCAATGCGTCATATTCGCACAAACGACCGAGCAAGTGCAGCCACCTTCTTGTCTACATGTGGACCATAGCCTGCGTTTGTTACGTGACCCGTCGGTCAAACCTGATGCTTCCAGTCAACATCTCAATCTTCGTCTTACGGCACGAAAGCCTTTCCATATTCTATTCCATTCTACAAGTATGCTGCTTAATTAAAACTGAAGCATTCCTGCCATTGTCGTAACCTTGTCTGCAAGAACACACCCGCTCCTGCCAGCCAGGACCAGGCTCTTGTCACGCAGATTGGTTTCGCGCAGAACCGTGTCCTTCGCAAAGTCACCCACTCAGACGCACGTTTGCACAGTCCTGTGAAGGCACTGTCCTGCAAGCGGATGAAGACGTACGGCGCAGGATCATCCGGGGATGTTGAGAAGAATAGCCAGAAAGCATACTTCAAAGACATCCACACGGCCTCAATCATTTCACAGCTTCCACGAAAAGATCCAAAGCACGCGCAAGGATCACGCAGTGAGTTCAGTTGCGGCTGACACTCTCTGACTACATCTCCGGCCTCACCGGAAGATGCAGTCACCTCTGGCTGCAGCAAGTTGATGCCGTTCTTGTGACCGCCTTGGTGCGGCTGAAGCTGTCGACCTCTCGCTCTGGTCGCTTCGCGAGACGCCGACGGTCAAGAAAGCTGCTCGAGGTCTCGCTGAGGACGCAGTGCGAGAGCTTCGCACCGGACAAGCCGCCTCGACATCCCCACTGCGAGATGCAGGATGATGCAGGGTGACTTCCTCCTGCAACCCTCCCGGAATCTCCCGGAGCCTTGATGGCCGTGAGGCATCGGAACGTCGAAGCGCTCCAGCCCGCCGGGGGGTATCGATGCCCAACCCTGCAGGTTCTGAGTTTCTGCGTAGTGCAGGGGGCAGGTGTCTTCAACATTAATCCACGAGACTTGGGCTTGTGCACTCAGCGTCTCGCCCGCCACCTGCACTCAAGTCCAACTCAGCCTCACGGCCCTCTCCAACCACCCAGCAGCCTGCCCCGCAGCGCGCAAAGCAGATGACGTGTCCTCTGGAGCCTCGACACAGTGCGACATAGCTTAGCTGGAGTACCGGGGGGATTGACGGATGAAGGCACATCCTGAAACCTTCTCCGAATCCTGGGGCCCAGGACCCAATCCCGAAGGTCCTTGCCCTAAACCTGAACTACTTCGATCACAGCACAAACCCAAACCCCACACCGAGACTCAGTACCTCAAAACCCTCCGGGAACGAAAACCTCACTACTCGCGCTCATCATGGTGCAGAAAGGCGATAGAGGTAACAAGTACTTGAGACAGCTCCCCGAAAGACTGGGGGCCTCCTGAAACTCCGGCATTGCGGTCTTCTTGACCGAGGCATCCGGCAGCAGCTCAATGCACCTGCGATACGAAAGAACCTGAAGCCTCGTTTTTTGTTCCTTGCTGAAATCGATTAGCCTAAGGCCTAAGGCCTAAGGCCTTTGCTCATCTTGAAGCAGGGTGTTGTAGATGCACTTCTGAACGGCGACGGAAGGCGTTGTCCCGTCTGCCTGCTGCACCGCACTGCAAGGCATTTCTTGTGACAACTGGCGAACATTTACCTGCTTGTGCAAGTCGCGGCATCTATTGGCCACTCAAAGTACTGCAAAGCCGCAGCTACGTCAAGCCTAAAGCGGGATCAAAGGCATGCAGGGGCACAGTAGCCCCGCATAAGAAAGGGTAAGCCTGCTCCTGGCCTCAATTCTGGAGTTCACTTCCAGCCATTCTTGGAAGGACAGCCGCGTATTGTTGCCCCCTTCCGAGTCCGGAAGCACCCTGCACGGTGGCATCGCTCTGTGCAGCTGCGAAAGCGGGGGTCTCCGATGAAGTCAGCGAAACAGCAGACAAGCGAGTCCACAGCGATGCTGTCGCGAATCCTGACTGCTCTATCGACACTTCAATTCGGTGGGAGCCTGCGGATGTTCCAGCAGAGTAGAACTGTGGAAAACAGCAGCCTGTCAGGGAACAGAAAGAAGTACCATCCGGACTGCATGAGACAAGGATGCCATCTAATCGGGTCCACGGCCGCAGATAACCGAATTGCCACTGCAGCCGTGACTTGTCAGCTGTAGCTCGCTTGGCAGTGCCAACTGCTTGGCACACCGAATCGTTCACCAAGCCCAGCCTGGCCAGTCCTTCCACACTGTGAAGGACAGATCGGAGACGAGCACCACAAACCTGGCAAAGTCGGCCCCATGCGTATCAGAAAAAGCTCCCTCAAGTACAAGCTTTAATCCGCACACCACTCTGAGGAAAGGACCTCGCCCTCCTGGCCAGCCAGCCACGAGGAGCTTTGCCGTGGCTCCTTCGAGATTCCCGCAGCGTGGGGATTTAGAGCTAGGCAGCTTGGTTCCTATGAGCTTCTGGACTCCACGCAGAGCTTCGACCCACCTGGCCGTCCGCACCATTCGGAGCCTCTGCCTCACCGAGTGCACGCTGTTTCGCTTTGTTGCATTCATCGCATCCGCCTACGGAATCGTAGCACTACAGCGACGCAGGTGGAAGAGACCTCTATTTCGGAACTGGCTGTTGGACTCTTGGACAAAGTAGATGAGAAAGACACGGAAAGACCCTGAGCGAAGGAGCTTCCTGGAAAGCCTCAGGGATCAACATGTCATCTGTTTTTCGGTGGTGCAACCTTTGTCGCGGGGGTGGCAATCTACTAAGCAATGCCCTGCACATGCCGAGTTGCATGCGGCCTCAGGCCAAAAGGAGAGATCGCTTGAGAATGGGCTTTCAGCCCGGGATTAAATTCGCCAGATATTCTAGCAACAGCGGCCAGCCGACAGCCCTTTGCATTCTGCACGTTGCTGTGAGCATGGCTAGAACTCTTCGCAGATCGCACTCGAGGCTCACAAGAAGATTTTGTCACCTCAGGTGCCCAGGCCAGAAACTTGCGAACAGCAGCCGCATGACTGCATGCAGCTCTTGCCTCCTTCTCGAAGGACCTGTCGGGAAGCACGATGTTCAAGCCACGCAAGGATACCGGAAGCTCCAAACGCTGGAACAATACACCGGAGCCGGAACCCGCCTTTACCACCTTCGGAAATGCGAACCACTCCGGGATCTCCTCGCCACTCCGCAATCGCTTGCGGAACCTCGCGCGAGGGACATCGCGACAGCACCCCAGGCACGCATTCGATGCCGAGAAGCTCTGTGCCCGAGAGCTTGTTGATCTTGACACCCTTGGCCTTCAAACAGAAGGACTGCCGCAAGCTTGACTGCAGTCACTCCAAAAACGGCGTCTTTTCTTTGCCTTCGCCTCGACGTCTGTAGCATAGCCTGTTCGATGCACATGAGGCAGGTGCAATCGGACGGATATTGCAAGGGCCCACCATTGACAGTACTTCCGCTATGCTACATACTTCAGATGTCGGATCATGTCGGATCTATCTCTTTTGCGATCGGCCAGCCTCGCTCGTTGCCGTGCTCCTGGCCAACCTCAACCCACAAACTTGCAGATCCATGCAACATATCCAGATCATGCCGTGGATATCAGAGCAGTTGGAGAGCTGTTCCGTGAAAGAAGACACTTCAACGGCTCGCACATGCTGCCTTCTAGCTCTTGGCTTCGTGACGGAGTCCTGCCTACTGATACTGTCTGTCCAAGAAGCATACACCATGTTGGGGTAGTCCACAACCTTCACGCTGAGCTCTTCAGAGTGCTTTTTGCCCATATCCTGCGCCTGAGAAGGCATCGCACATCGGACCACAGAGTCAATGTTTCTGGACAAGCCTTCACATAGTTGCAACGAGAAGCCCCGCCTCGTATGCACCGTAAAAATCCTCACTGGTCAGCGTGCTCTTCCTGAGACGATGTCCAAATGAAGCCGGCAACAAAAGCTTTTGTCAGGCTGCAGGGCTTCCGCTTCTTACTGCAGATGGGGTGCGTACCTGCCATATCACGGCCAATGATGAAGTGCGTGGCACCGAAGTTTTTCCGGATGATCATGTGCTGGATCGCTTCCCGCGGCCCGGCCATCTTCATGGAGTAGGGAAGGTACGACCACCTAAAGCTCTCACCTGCCCATTTCTTGTACTCCGGCTCCTCCTGAAGGACTTCGTAAGTCTTAATCCGCGTAGGCCCGTCGATGTCTCCAGGCTGGGTGGGTCCACAGGTGGGATGCACGAGAACAATTGAATTCTCGACATCCTTGTTGGCATGAACCTGGGGCTTGCCGCCACATCCCACAAGAAATGGAAACGCTGGGAGCCCGTATCTAGCTGCTTCCATGCGGAGTACAGGCAATCAAATGGACAACTCCGGCTTGGCACTTGCACCGTGCTTGGTCTGTTTCGGAAGTCGTTATCCCACAATACCGACGGCGGCTGAAGCTGCCATTCTTACAAGCAAGGCAGCTCTCCGCGAGCACTATTCAGGCGCAGTGAGGCTGACAAAGGAGACCGATGCAAACAAAAAAAACCCTTTGCCTTAAGTGTCGAGGCACCAGCAGCTCGAAGTGCGCTTTGTGCACCGGGTTTCGATTTTGGAAAGCAACCACCTGCTTGCCCGCCGGCAGGGATGCTCGCACCTCCTTCGGGGTGCGGAAGCCTTTGCCCCAGACTGTCTCGAAACCGGCGACCAGGCCGTGCAGCTTGCCTGCACGCGCGGGCACTCACGCTGCACAAAGGCTGACGAATGCAACAAACCTAAATTCGCTACCCCCGACCTTCAAACAAATCGCACAACCATGCGTTCGAAACACCGTGCGACACTTTCTAGCGAGATAGCGCTGGCACTATCTCGACGTTGAGCTGTTGATTCTATCATGCAGCTAGGTCTGATGCTGCCAACCAATCCTCGACACTCACGAGTGGTGGGATCCCGGAAAGGGAAGTTGCGGGGTATGCTTGACGGGGTCTGGGTTGCGAAGCCATATGATATGATGCTTTGATACGATATGATATGATGTGATATGTGCCGAGGTAATGCTGGTTTCTTAATCTTCCTGCAGGCCCTGTCACCCAGCCTCCGGCATAAAACTTTCCAAGATCCGCGAAAAGCTCTGCCACTGAGGGATGCTCGGTCGATGTGGTACCATAGGAGGCCTGTCGGATGCGCAGGCTTGCTGGAGCAGTCGGGGAGCCCATCAGCATCAAGCAGGGGCAGAAACGGGAACGACCCGTCCGTGCCTTGGCTTCCTTGACCTTATCCGGCTTCCACACTTCCTCTGCCTCGAAGACCTCGGCCAATGTCTTACCCCCTCCGGCTGTATTCGCAGAAAATCTGCATGCTGCGCTTACCAGTAGAATTGAGTGCATCGGCGCATGCTGGGTGTATGCCTAATTACTTCGTCTTTTGCCGCGGCAATGATGGAAGGATGATGCCACGAAGTGGATTTTTTCCGACAAAACTCAGCTACAACACATGCCAGTACCTGTATCCGCAGGGTCAAAAAAATACCTGCAGCACCGACAAGCTCGCGGCTTAGCTTTTTCTGGCAAACAGAAGGGTTCCGCAGATCAAAGCAACCCAGCCCTTCGAGAGGACTGTGCAAGTTTGGATTCAGATAGCATGTGACCACTCCGCCATGTCGTGGCAAGGTAGAAGTCAACAAGGCTTCAGCCACGCCGATCAGTGCCGTGCTTGTCTGGTTGTGTGTACGTGGAAAGACAGATGATGCTTGCTTGGGTGGTGTCACGGCTTTACTTAGGGTCAGAGATATTTAGGGGCACACTTTCGCAGTTCTGGTAACCGGTATGGAGAACGGGAAGGGGAAGGGCGGGCTGTGACCGGAGAGGGTGCAACCGAGTCGCTGCCAGCTTGGCGCCCTGGTACGTTAGAAGGACCGTCTTCCCACGCAGGGACTCGTCCGGAACATCCAGGATCACCGGCCTCGGTTCCCCACAGTCCCCGGAGCCTTCATAGCCCGGATTTACTTGGGCCAAACGGCAGGCCGAAGAGGTGCCCCGAAGTCAGGCGCATGCCTTCGACCTCGGCTCTCACACACATCTCCGCACAATTGCGGCCCTGTGTCTCTAACGATTCACAACTACTCGTAGAAGGCCGAGCGAGTGCAGAAGCTCGACCATGCTGCTTGCTACACTCACCACCCCCCAACCCTTGTCAGGCGGAGCTGCAACGGAGTTGTAGTCGGCCTGCTTCATGAAGCCAGTCAGGGGCGAGAAGCCACCGTTGATGAGGAGAGAGACATCGCATGCCTTCGGGACGACCCCTACTAGACGAGCCACTTCCACTGGCTCTCAAGGTGCTGCTGAATCGAAGGGGAAAGCCGCACCGAGCCTGTCGCTGGGATAGCTCGAGAGTGGCAGTCGCCCCTGCAACCAGCCTTGGAGGCCCGCAAACCGAAGCTGTGCGCTTGCATAAGTCCTTGCTTTTGCACGTAGCGGTGCACGAGGCAACCGAGCGGCTTGGCTGCGTTAGCATCTGGCAGACTCAAATCCTCAGAGCTCCCGTGCCCGATCTCTTTCGGGAATGTGATTGCAGTCAACTGAACGCAAACTTGCACCCGAGGTGACAACGACTTCGATGCTTACCAACACGACCATAAAGAAACATCTGGCGAGCTTCCACCAGACTCCCCCCGTGCGGCTCGCCAGGGGCTGATTTGCATCTGCCTGTAGCAGCATCGCACGTGGCATCTTGTGCCAGCGCCGCCTGACAGCAGAGGTTATGCACAACGACGTTTACCAGGTCCTAGGCTGTAACTCAGCTCGGGGCGGGAACGAACACCGCTAAAATGAGGCGCAGCATGTTGCTCTACTGGCTGTGAGCCGAACGGCTGAACCGGCAGCACCTCGTCTGCAATCCTGCACCACGGCTCCACAATGCTCGACGGCTTCATACCTACGCACATACGATGCATACGACGGCACTATGTCACATGATTGGCGACCTGTGTGGCGAGCGGCGCTCAGCATACCGTGCCTCCGAAAACAGCGTCCACTCCAGTGCCTCGTCTGCCTTGACCGAGGCTTTGGTAGAGGGTAGAGAATCAGGTACAGTACAGGCTCGGATGCCATGTAGCGAGTCAGAAACGAGTCATTACCGGTCGAGCGCCCATCAACTTCGATATCAGATCGCTCACATGAGGCTTGTTTCTGTGGGAGAAGAAAACAGCACTGCTCGCAGTCAGGCTGATTGAAACTAAGCTCTGCTGCGCGAGGTCAAGACAGTCGTAGGCTACACACAGGCACCATTGCAAGCTTGGAGCCCAACTTCCTGCATGCCAGCAACGTATGGCTGGGCATCATCCAGGTCGTGAGTGCGCCACCACCTAAAGCAGCTATCGACTCTCCCATTTCGGCAACAAATGCAGCAGAGCGTCCGGAAGCAATTCGGGTTGTTGCTTTGGGAATCGAACCAAATGGAACCAAGAAGATGAACTGAGCAAGCTCTAAGCAGTAGGCAGATGAGCAGCAGCTGCCGTGATGCGGTCCTCGGCAAAACTTAAACGCACTTCGACAGGGTACAAAGCAAACCTTGGATCCTCTCGCCACCTCTGGGCCTTTGCCAGAAAGCTGATTCACAGTCTTACGGCACCACTAAGGCGGCGACGATTTTGCTCAGTTCTGTGGGTGGTCTCATGTAGCTGAAGACCTGCAAGCTGACGCCAGTCTGCGGAGCTGCCACTTCCCAGGCTTCGCACCTTCCGCAGAGCGCCAACGACTCCGGTGCCCGCCAAGTCCTGAGTGGCGCGTCCACTGTGCCCGTATCCAAAGCTACGGAAAGTTTTGGGCCCGCTGCCATGGTGTGAACGAAGGCGAGGCGGAGTGTTTGTGCCAGGGAGAAATCCTCGCTATGAAGGCTTCCAGGAGCCCCTGATCATCGACTACCTCGTTAGCTGTACCCTGCACATCTAGATACTCCGAGTACTACTGCTGCCGCTGCTTTCCTCCTCGTCCCACCACCACCACCACGACGACGACTACTACTACTCCGACTGCTCCTACTACCACCAGCACCACCACCACTACTGCTGCTGCTACCACTACCACGACCACTACGACTACTGCTGATGCAACGATGGCTCAGTCGTGACCGGGTCCAGCAGATTGATTCCTCTGCTTCGCGGCCCACGGCGACAACATGCTGCATAGCAGCGTGCGACAGGCTGGCTGGAGTCGGCACTCGACATGCTGCAGCCAATGCCAGCCTACGCAGGCCTTGCGACAGTCTCGTCGCCGCCAAGCTGCTTGGATCCTCTTCGGTCACAGCGAATACGGCCACATCATGGATTGAGCGGGTGGAGACCGCAGCTGCTTTATCTGCCGTTGGTCTGGAGCAGTGAGAGTCAAATCAGGCGAGGACCCAACCGAACATGAACAAGTGGACGAGCGGCAACCTGTGTGATTCTTACTGCAGGTAGTCGACGTGTTTCGTTGTTCCACAGGTCAAGCGGAATCGCCGGGCTTTAAAGTCTGCCGCATCGCATCAGAACCGGTGCACCGAGGATGATGACCACTACTACGACCATTGCTACGACGACGACGCCGACGCCGACTACTGCTACTACTACTACCACCACGACAACTACTACAACTACTGCTGCTGCTGCTACTACTTATTACTACTACTACGACGACTACGACTACGACTACGACTACGACTACGACTACGACTACGACTACGACTACGACTACGACTACGACTACGACTACGACTACGACTACGACTACGACTACGACTACGACTACGACTACGACTACGACTACGACTACGACTACTACGACTACGACTACGACTACGACTACGACTACGACTACGACTACGACTACGACTACGACTACGACTACGACTACGACTACGACTACGACTACGACTACTACGACTACGACTACGACTACTACTACGACTACTACTACTACTACTACTACTACTACTACTACTACTACTACTACTACTACTACTACTACTACTACTACTAACTACTACTTACTACTACTAGCAACCGAAAACCAAGCATGTCGACGGCTCTTCCCTGGCCTCGCCCATGAATTCACCCAACTGGCTCGGATCGACCTGCGAACACGGAGGCCACACACGAGTTTTAAGGCCACGCTTGATTCTTTGCATTTCATGTTTTTGCCTTCGAATTGGAGTCCCTTTCTTGTAGTTTGTTAACAACGGGTTTTTTCGAGAAGGAGTCTAGACTAAGGGTCCCTTGCTTCCATGCTCCCATTTGGAGGTCTCGTCCCTTGTAGGACTCTAGGATCCTTGCCCCACAGGCGCCCTGATAAAGAACAGCCCACTCTGCCAGGCCTTGTTGTCGATGAGAAATGCACTCAGGTCCGTGGGATGATCATGCACCACGCCTTTCGAGTTCAAGTGTGAGATTTGTCTCAAGGTGCATGGAGTTCAGGTGGAGCTGCAGCGGCACAGAAGCTCATGCCTTTGCTACTTGCAAGCAAGCAAGCGAGCAAGCGAGCAAGCGAGCAAGCGAGCAAGCGAGCAAGCAAGCGCACGGCAGCAGAGCAACAAAAGACTGCTACCAGCACAGTGAGGTGAACGAGGACTTATTGATTTAGGGACACGATGAATGGTAGCTTTCAGAAAGGTCAGCATAAAGCTCACGAAATCCTTTGGCCGACCTGCAGCAATTCCGTCTCGCTGGTCGCACAAGACATCCCAAGGGAAAGTCATGCTCTCGTTAACTATCGAAGCAGACACAGGCTGCAGTGGTGCTTCTGCTTTCTGGATTCCTGCTGCTCCAGCTTGATGTACAGGGATGCTGCAGCCTGCTTCAGCCCGATTTGCGGTGCATAGCACCAATTCCATAGCATAACAGGGTTGCACTTGCTGCATAACGCAGTGTTGCAGTTGCCGCCGGCGGTCTCGGCTGCCTAGCTGCTCAGAACCCGTCGCTGCTGTCATCGGCACTCTCAACCTGTCTGGACCCACGAGGGACTCTTGCAGGCTGAAGGCTTCAATTCCGCACGAAGGCGCCGAGAACCCCTGCTTCGAGATGCCGTTCAGAGGCCCAACTCCCTGAATGGAGTTGATTTGCTTTGCACTTCAGCCTTGCCTCCATGATGCCATCGCTACCTGCCAAGCTTCCGTCAAACTACAGCACACTGAACACGCTGACACAGGAGCTCCTAAAGAGGCTTGGCACAAGGAAGGGATCGGGAATGCCCGCATCGGAAACACCGTATTGCCTATTGGCTGTTGCCTACTAGTTACTAGCAGTACCAACATCTTACCAAAAGTTTCCTGGTGTTGGATCTCCAAATTAAGACCTCGAGCATATCAGAAGTTCATGGGATTTCATGGGTCTTCATCGAAGGCTAGTGAAGCTTTGATCTTTGCGCAGACCCCAAAGCGGCACCTGGCTTGGCTTTGGCAACTTCGACCCGGCTGCTGCCGCTGCTGCTGCTGCTGCTGCGCAAGGCACCGAGCACGCCCAAGTCGTCCGCGATCTGCGCAGCCGCAGACTTCGAAGCGCCTGCACAGCGTGAGATATCCGGCTTGTCAGAACCGGTGCAAGGGCACTGCAAGAACACGCGCCTGGCTTGGATTTAGCCAGCTCCAGATGCCCATCGCTGCTCTCGCTTTCCGAGTCAGTCATGGCTTTGGACTTGGACGCGCTTGCTACAGCTGCAGGTCCACCTGACCAAGCAAAGGCCCTCAGCTGAAGAATAAGAATCCACGACTGCGTAGACAGCGCCTCGCTTGCCGCCGATCAGCTCCAAATGGCCCAAGCTTTCGCTGTTGCTGTCGCTCGAGGAATCAATGGGCAGCGACTCCTTCGCAGCTGGAGATCCTGAAGAAAGGGGCTTGGAGAACTTCCACAGTGCCCCGCACTGTGGGGCGTACACCTCGGCCTGCCAGCGGTGCCGGCGCCGGTGCCGCCGGCAGAGACGGGGCTGACCTTGAAGTTGAAGAATCGCGGTCTCAAAAGACACACTCGAAGGGACAGGACATGACCTGTCAATCGTCAGGCCAGGTTGCGCTGGTTGTGGCTGCGCAGCCGGCCCTGCGGATCAGTGAGCGGTGCAACATAGGCTACCGCACCAGACTCGTCACCGCAAGCCCTAGTCTGAAGATGCGAGCTGCTTGCAATGAGAGCAAAGACTCTTCTGTTGCAAATCCTGGCCTTCATCTTCGCTGCCAGACCTGCTGGAGTTCTCCAGCGAGAAGGGCCCTCGGCGACAGGGAATCCCAGACCCTGAAGGTACCAAAGAAAGATACCTGAAATCATGTCTTCTGTTGCGAAGCCAGGCCGCTCGAGTCGTCGACCGTCATGTCGAGGCCTCCCTGGGCACAAGAATCCAAGAAACTCGTGAATGTTGACGTTGCTTTCGGGCCTGGCCTGGTGCGGGATCGGCGACAGGGAGGGTGACCGGTTTATGTCAGAGCTCGGTGCTTCCTGCACTGCAAGTCCCATGTTCCTGCCTCGGATCTCAGTCTTAGGACACCTACGGTGTAGCAACTTTGGTCAAGCTGTTTCCATACAGCAGAAGATTTCGCAGGAAGGTGCAGAATCCTTGTCCGGGATGGTCAGCGATGTGTTACCTGCTCGCATGCAAGGCGAGAGATGCGCAGCGGGTGCCAATCGGTTTGTGAACACCTCCTGCCCAAGTTGCCGCCGAGAAGCCCAGGTCCGCCACTGACTTGGACACGTCCGGGTCCGGGTGCGTGGGGGCTGTGCTGGCTTCCGTGACTTCCATCGCATTCGCCGGACAGAGTGGCGGTCCCAGGCCCAAGCTTGGGCCCTCCGTCTCGGGCATCTCGGCCCTCTGCGCTTCAGCACCTGGACCAGCGCCGACCTCAAGGCGAGGTGAAAGGCGGAGCTTCACCAGGCGCCGGACGCAGCCGCTGGGCCTTCTGAGCATCTTCGCCCCCTTTCGGAACAGGACCTGGCTGGAGCAGCATCGGGAGCTGCAGTGAAGAGTCCCCGACGGCCCCCTGTCACCGACCTGGGCCGGGGCCGGAGAGATCCGTTTGAGCGGACGCCTTGGAGCAGATATCTGCAGTCCAAAGCTCCAGTACTTCAAGGACCTATCGCCCTCTGACTGCAAACGGGCTGCATCGGCTTTCCGAGGTGATGGAGGTGCGTGGTCGTGGCTTGCCGAGGGATCACTCTGCACATGCTCTCCCAGCACGGCACAAGAGCCACCACGACCTGACAAGCTTTCAGGGTCACACTGTAGTGAACTGGAAGCACTGACCAGTCTATCCACGTCCTACGTGCAACCAAAAAACCGAACAATTACTGCAACGGGATGCAACAGGAAGAACATGGTTGCACCTGACGGTGTGGATGGTCGCCCCGCAGAAAGGGCTGCAGGATCCTGGCAACTCAGTCGGCTCGTTCTTCAGATGACAACGAGTTACGGACGAGGGTGTGTTTGCAACAGCGTTCGATTGCATCGAGACGATTCCCTGTGCCTGGAGTGGACCGAAGACCCGAAATCCCAAGACCCGCACCTGATGCACGACCTGAGCTGCGTTCACCCTGGAGGCACCAGCAGTCCTGCAAATGGATGCGGACGGTGACAGCTCAATTCCATCTCAACTAAAATCATGCACTGGTGGTCTTCGCATACCATGCAAGAGCAATGCAGGAGCAAACGGTGCGCTGCGTCCTGCTCGATTCAACTGCAGGGCCACCTGCTGGGCCACAGCCGAGCTTCGCAACTGCATACTGCGGGTTCCGGAGCCCAGCAACAAAGCACCCACGTGGAGCCTTGGAGCGATCCGGGGGGCTTCGCCTTCGCCAACCTGGAAGCCTGGAAGCGCTGGAAGCAGGTACTGCCAGGCACGTACTACTAGTAGTAGCAATCAAAAGCCTCCCAAATTCCGCAAAACCGTCCGCGTGAGAAGCTGGTGCAGACACCGACCCAGCTCCCTTTCTGATGCCTCAGCCGCCTTCGACGCACCCCCCGCAGCAAAGTCTGCTCCACCAGTGAAGCTGGTAAGGTTGCCTGCCACGGGCGCTACTGCGACAGCTGTTGCTCACGGACATGTACGGCCCAGTGCGGCTAGTGAAATTGCTAGTGATATAAGCTTCCCGGAACTTCAACAGGCAGCAAGGTCTTCCACCAGCCTGAACGATGGCCGAAGAGGTGTTTGGGTACACTTGCCCCATCGCTAATCTGCGCCTGAGCTCCGCAGTCTCTCAGCATGAAGCATGAGAGATGGACGTGTCGTTTGCGGGTCAAGGGTTAAAAGTTTAGGTTGGGGTGCTTTGCTTCACAGATCTTGTATAGGATTAGCTGGGCCTCCGGCTATCATAGACTCTAGGTCATGAAGGGCGCTGTGCACGCCGGACCTCTGCAGGCATCCAATATCCCGGCCCACGCAGGCAGTTCTGAGTAAGAGTAGAGTGAGTTGCAGGTGCAATGAGGGCGAGACCAGCGCTGCTCGCTCAACGACGGGATGGCCTTCAGAGAGAGTACGCTTGAGGTTCAATCTTGAAGATGCAGGCCGAACGAATGGCCGGTTAGCAATCGTTTCAATTCATCTGATTCCCATCGTGGGCTGAGGCCACTGACTGACACCGGTGGCTTGATGTCATTGTCGGGGGAGCTCGGCCTCAGCCTCAGCTGCACCGTCCCTGGTGCTCCCTGGCCCCGGACATGAGAGGAGACTGAACTGCACTGGACTGCACTGACTCCCAGGTCTTCCACGCCACGGCGGCAACGGGGGCCACGTAGGGAGCCTCACACCCAAGGCACTCAGACAAGTTCCAGGGCCTTGCACAGACACACGCGGAACGGCCTCCTCGTGGTCTTCGTCTGAGGATGTGTCTGCGGTCCACCACCCAGGACCCTTGAGAGAAATACTGTCACATCATTCGCTTGAAGCGGACATGCAAAACGCGTGGGCGTTCGTCGTGCCTCCTTGCGAACTGGCTTTTGACGGGGTCGCCGAGGCCTAGATCAGGAGGAGAGGGGGCTTGGGAGAGGTGCATCGCAACCAGTTTTCAGTACAAGCTGGCACTTCCGAGCGGCTCGGAATTACTTCTGAACTGGATGATGCATCAATCGAGGCGCACCCACCCGCGTTTGGCAAGATCCATGCTGAGCTACTCAGCCCAAAGCCAACACCTTTCTTTTGCCAGCAGATGCGTCCCGGTGTTCGGGAGTCCTCGGTCAGCCGGTCAACCCAGAACCAAGCCCTGTATCTTCTCACATGGTACATGAAGACATGTCGAGGCCGACACGCTGTGACGGAAGGGCGCTCGAGCTTTGCGTGCTGAACCCTTCCTGATCGCTTGACAGCTTTTAATGGCCCTGCATTCTGATCTGGCTATGACTGTCTGACCTGACCTTTCCAAAACACAACGGTCTGGACTGTTTCTGAGGAGTTCCCTCTACCGCGGCCAGTCTAGCACGAGACCACGACCGGCATGTATGGCAGGGAGGACGATCTTTGCATCCTGTGCACACAGGTTGGATCCCAAAGTCCGAGTGACTCCATCGAACGAACGAAAACAGGCACGGATCCCAGCCTGGCAGATGGAGAGCCTTCTTGGCCGCCTCCTGCTCTGCGCCCTGAACGGGGCAGCTCAAAGTTCTCGGTGCTCCGATCGTCCCGTGCACAGCGACAGGGGCCTGCATTCTCTCTGGCAGGCGGCACAAATCCAGCCTGCGGACCGCAATACTTGTGTTACTTGTTGCATTTTGTTCGTTGAACCTGCTGTGATATCAAACGTGCATGTTCGGCAAAGAACTCAAGATTCTAAGGGCTCGGCCGCTTCAAAGCCTCTTGGACGGGCCAACGCTTGAGCCGTCCGAGGTCTCGGAAGCAAGTCCAAGCATCCCAAACAAAAGAAAATAAATGAACTTCATTGCACGCCGGAATTGCTGTGCACCCCACTCTGGTCGCCATGATGTGGCTTTGCCTTTGTCGCTCAGAGGAGTCTACAGAATTGGGCTACAGCAAACGGGAGAGAGAGCTCCAAGCCGTAGGTTCGCAGTACGGGAAAGGACACGCACGGCCCCATTGACGTGAAGGGAATCCCGAAAATTCGATGCACTGCTCCCCGACTGGGGCATGCACTGGCACAAAGGCGAGCACCCTTGCCCCTGGTATTGAAATTGGGTCGACCTGGCGCCACTCTATGACGTGGCTACATGAAAGGCAGGCGTAACAAAACAGCGAATGAAGCCTTTTTCCGTCGACACTGCCGGAGCTGGAGTTCGCAAAGTCTGACACTACTTGAGCGAATCTCACCGGATCTTCCTCATGGGCAACGTGCCCGCAACCCTGAGCGCACTCGAGTGCTGTTTGCAAGCTGACCCAACCTGCTCCAATGCAAACCCCTTATGTGCCTGGATCGTCTGCAGCCGACATCCCAGCAGCTCTGACAAGCGTGTGCTGTTCCCAAGAGGAACCACTCGGTCCTGCGTGAAGCGACAGCCCGGATGAAGCGCCGCAGAAGAGCAAGAAAGGACGACATGAGCCTCTGAGCCCATGTGACCAAATGTGGTTCTTCCGATCCGCAAGGGGTTGCAGCAGGTCCTTGTCTCCAGTTACGATCAGCACACGAAGCTTGCCAGCTTTGCATGCCTGGGTCAGGGTGAGCATTCTTCGACTGAAGCTGCGTCTATCTTCAAGGCTTCCAACTCGTAGCCATCTTAGCCATCCATCACTCATCACTGCCGTTCCTTCAAGACAAACCCTGTCGTTGTGCCCAGGAGCATCGACCAGCCGCTGCAGTACCAAAGCATCCTGGGACTCTCCAGCTCAGGCTCCCATCACATAAGGGTCCAGCGGGTCGCCCGTCCTCGCCGATGGAGAGCAGCCGCGCTGACACGAAGTTTGCCAAGCCCAGCGCCCACCCTTCGCAGAGGCTTGGCCAACCTGGGACCACGCTTAAGCAGGCTTCTGCAATTTTTCATCGTCTGCAGTTACACTGTTACCTGTATCGCATTGTCTCCCAAATCTCGCAGATAAGGACCAAACGGTACAGGAGGACCTGCTTGTCCAAACGCACCGCATCCATGTCGGCATAGGCAGATGCCAATCCACTGCGCCAGAAAAGCCTGTTCAGGAGGGATCACTTAGAATCGCGAAGACCCCATCTGCAAGCATGCGCACCCGCCTGTTGTATGTAAGACCTGGGAGTTGGAGCACGAAGCGCAGGAAGAGACGCTGCAGTCTCAAGCCCAGGACCGCAGCCTTGGCAGGCTATGCAGACCTCAGACCTCACATCTGCGCCTCATTGCTCTGACTCTGCCCCGAGTTGCGCGTCCCAGTCTTCTAGTCCTTGACTCGCTGGACGGCTTCACCAGAAATGCGGGGCTCTCCTGAACACAGGCTTCAGCTTCTGGCAAAGCCCCGCCGCGGAAAAACTCACATGCCAAGGCCAGGTGTCCAAAATCAGGGCAACGGAGCCGGGATCTCTACCCGCCCTGGCTATGGCGACCGCTGAAGCCGTGATAGCCTCCGCCACTGCGCGCAACTCCTACTGGTCCTACACCTCCCTCCAACGTCAAAACACAATCGGCAAAGGCACTCCCATGGAGTGGCCGATGATCAGCGAGTTCCTCTGATCCGACTCCCTGTCCAGCAAGGCGCCAGCCAGGATGGCATTGCCAGTGAGCGTGTACATCTGGGCTGCGGAGAGGTCGCCCAAAGTCGCCTTCTCCGTGTCCGTCTGGAAGGACATCCCACGTCTGAAGACGAGATTGGGCCTCTCCGTCAGCCCGAAGCCCACTTGGTCCGGACACAGCACCACGGAGGCCAAGCCCGACTTTAGGAAAAGGGGCAGCACCTCCTCGTAGGAAGTCCCATTCGCACCGAAGCCATGGCAACAAAGCATCGCCGTTTTTTCTTTGGAAGTATCGGCCTCCCCCTCGAACTCCGACTTCAGCAAATGAAGCGATAGCTTCTCCAGCCTCACAATCCTGCTCAAAGAGGATGGGAGAATGCTCGACGCTTTTTGAAGCTCTGGCTTTGCAGCAGTCATCTTCCACAACACCCCAAGTAGTAGAAGAGTGGCCCAGAAAGATCCACCGAGCCAAATCATGCTCAGGCTGCACAGCAGCCTTGCAAATCCGAGCCTCTCTCTAACCCTCGCAGCACCTAGTTGACATCTTGACAAAAACGCCCGCGCTTGCCGACACGTTGCATCCTGACATGCTGCCTTGCCGACATCAGTGTCCCAGCGGCAGAGCGCCACGGTCCCGGCGCGCGTGCCAGCAGACATACAAAGGCAATCGAAGCCTTGGCAAAGCGCAGGGCATGCTACTTATGTCAAGCTGCTCTTGATGACTCAGTTGACTCAAAGCGAGTTATACTGCCTGTAGTACCAAGCATGCCATAGTCGCTTTGCAAAGCAAGCGTCGACCGTGACTGTCGCCCACTCCACCCGCTGAAGCTTGCGATAGCCAAATGCTCCGACTACCTGCCCGTCATGTGGACGAACTGCGGAGTCTCCTGAAAGGAAAGCAGGACCGAGGACATGACGTGGCACCCAGGCGGGTCCCCGCCTGCAGCGAGGGCGACTCGCCAAGGCCTCGGCCCTCCGGAGCCTCCGGGGCCTCCAGGAGGCATGGTGAGCCGGAGTCCTAGTCCTGCCTGGCTCACCATGCCTCCCAAGCCTTCCAAGCCTCCGAAGCCCATGCCGGCGTGGACCTGAGCCTACACCAAATTCATGCTGAGCTTGAGTTGAGCCAAAGTGCTGCAGTGCTACGAAGCGTCACCGGTGCAAAGCATGGCACCACCCAAGGACGCAGGAATGATGCAGACAAATGAAAAATGCCCAGGCCTGAATGAGTTGGCGCCCACGAGTTCCGCGGCCTACCGAGCTTAGACCCTAACCATCCCCCACCCGCGCCGTCGTCCTCTGCGGGACTGCATGCCAAGGCCGACAGCTCCTGGCCTCTCCGAGTCTTTGAGGACCTCCTCTCCCATGTGGATCAAGTTCTGCATGCCGGACCTCCGTTCGACAGAACACGATCAAAGGTCTCGGCTCGGGAGTGCGGCCTGGCCCTTGGCCCTTGCCTGGATCTGCCCGGCAAGGAATGCGAGCGTGCAAGAGGCGGCCTACAAACAGAGGCGCAAGGACAGCCGATCCAGAAAATTCCGGCCTCTCACCAAAAACCGGGACTCTAAAAGACGATCACACGAAACAAATACTAGGATAGAGATCCTGCGAGATACTTGTAATCATGCAACCTTCTTCTGAGACCGCGGCTGAGAGGCCAATTTTTGGCAGAATACATCGATGACATGAGACTCCTCTCAGGTGCCGGGCAAAGCTGCCAATTCTTGAACTTGTCGCTACCAAGTCGACAGCTCGCTCGGTCGCTCAGTGCACGAAACGCAGAAGATACTGTCCGCCGAACAGTGCTGTGGCTGGCGCCTGGGCTGCACGCCTTGGAGCTCTGCGCGCCCAAGCGTTCTGACTGCCGCTGGCCACTGCAAAGCCTAGGATCACACGCGGCAGTTTCTCGGCTCTGGTCACCTGAGCTGCTCTTTCGGCCTGCACTGGCCCTGCAATCGGCCACGGCCGGCGGCAAGTCCTGGTAACGACAGAGCCTAAAGAGGGTCATGCTGCATCTGGGAGTTTCCGAAAATAGGGGACCCTCATATAGTACCTTACAAATAGTAGGATCCTTATTATAAGGACCCCCAAAATAAGGTACCCCCCCCCCCAATTTTAACTCCATCTGCTACAGACAACCAGCAGCAACTCCGAGGTCCGCTGAGTCTGCGGTCTTCAGGTGGAGCTCTTTCGGATGGAAGGAGCTGCCCACCTAAGCCCAAGACTCTGAAAGGAGAAAACATACCAACCCCTGCAGAAGCAGAACCTGGTGAAGCCAATGTGAAGCCCCAATTGCCTCTTCAATTCGTTTCTTGGCTGCTGATCGCAGCCTGGCGGCGCCGCCCCATGCAAGCGCATCTGGCAGAGGCGCATCTTTCCCCTCATTGCCATGGCTCAACCTCAGATTCAACGCGAAAAACTTGAGAAACCTCTCTCCATATACATACACACATACATATATATATATATATATATGTACACGTACATGTCCATAGTCATACTTCGACAGCCCATCTGTCTATCTATCCATCTGTCTACCTGTTTTCCTGCCTAGCTAGCCAGCTTATCAGCTTATACATATGCACCTATATACATGTAGAGAGAGATAGAGGGCACCGATATGCGTTCTTGCATAGCTTGTGGAACTCCACCTAGATCTTTATGTCATATTATGTTTGTTTATTGTTGCTTTCTTTGTGTAATTGTGCTTGCACATGTGTCGACCTGCTTCTTTATCTATGGTTACTCCAGAGGTATCCGGTATACAGCGGTAGATAGAGATAGACATGAGACACTGCAACAGTCAAGTGGTCCCCACCGGCTCTTGTTTTGTTTGGCTCCGCAGATGCCGCATTGGGTGCCCTGCGGTCCGAGTGCCCGAGCAAGAACAGCAGAATGCGAACGTCCAGCGGCAATGCCTACAGGCCAATGCCTGGGAAGGACTACAAAGCCGCAGTGGAAAGGCCATTGAGATCATGAATCATAAACATGCGGCATGCCGCATGACCATTAAGCAGCGCGGCTCCCGACAGGCACAGACTTCGGGACAGGCTGAGAAGCGTGCACAGCAGGTGGAGAGAAATCGGCCAAAGGCTGGGGGAACCAGCGCCTGGCAGCAGTCGGGTCATCCTAAAGCCCGAAACCCGCAAAATTGCAGAGTGGGCGGCCTGGGCACAATGTCTTCCACGCGTTCTCCGAAGGTCCGGCCGCATCTGAGCCACAGTGACAGAAACATTTGCCTTTATGATTTATGGGGGAACTACGACGGCGTCCGAACATCAGACACTGGCAAGTTCAAGAGACCATCGTGCCGCAGCCGGTGCGCCGGCACGTTGCCCGTCCCTACCCGTTCCTGCTATACGCCCCTCGTCAGTGGTCGAGACATGTTTTACCTTGTGGCGATTTTCTGCCAGGATGGAATCGGCTCGAAAGCAACAAAGCATGCGATTCTGGCAGGGACGTCCCGGATTTAGCACGGACTCTACACAGCTGTTCTCGCCGACGTGGCCGTGGTGTGCTGACGAGCAGGTGCAAGCTCACAATTCCCTTCAGGACCAAGAAGCCACCCGACATGCTGCCGACACTTCCCACGGACAGTTGGAACAGGCATAGTCTGGTTGAGACTGCTCGTAAGAACTGCATTTTTCACCGCCTGCTTTCACTTCCATTACGACTAGAACTGCGATAGTTCGGTGCTGTGGGACGAGCTCCGAGGTGCGGGCTGCCCTCGAGCAGCAGAGCCCCACCTGAGACAGTGACTCAGGTTTGGCAGCCCTCAGCGTCCGCTTGCTCTCCTCCCATCCAAGGCTCTCACGCCCAGACCACCCTTCTGTCGTGACCTGCGAGGTCTCGGCGAAACGCAGTGCACGAAACGCAGTGGCAGTGGCTCGCGATATCTCGCTGTGCCTGGTGGTCGCGTGAGGCAGATCACGTGATGAGCGCCGCACCTGGGGGCGAGGAGAAACGGAGGCTGCACGCTGGCTGACTCGGTCTTCTCCGGCTAGGGCTCCCTGCTCCAGCCCTTCCACGGCCTCGATGCCGTGGGTGCCACGAGTTCTCGAGGCGCTCCCACCCAGCAGAGCAAAGTCGACGATCCTCGGCCTGACGGTGCGTCAACTTGAGGGCTCCAGAAGCATCTGCTGTGGCCGGCTGAGCTGCTTGCGTAAGGATCTGCGAAGATGCCTCCATCTCACCTGCGGAAGAGCCAGCAACTTCAGAAAAGCCGTGGCAAGCTGCCATGATTCTAGGGACAGCACCAATGCCCAGCTGACCGTACTGGTTGCCCCCACACGACCACAAACGAACCTCGCCCAGAAGCAATCGTGCTGCACGCGAAGAAGTCGATGGAGCAACTGGGCGCAATATCCGAGGGCACGGCTCCTGATCCCGCCACAGCCACCCTGGTGGGAGCAGTCCTTGGAACACTTGCCATTCGAACACTTTTGAAGACTCTCCTCGTTGACGATTACCAACTGCCGTTTGCAGTTGAGGCAAGCCGCACGAAGACAGTGAAGTTCGCACCACAACTGGCATGCCTCATGGCAAATTTGGGGGAAGAAAGGTCGAGCCCGTCTTCTGCTTGCAAGAATGCGAGACGACGCTTACGTCAACCTCGTGCTGCTAGCCTTGCTGTAGACTTCGCCTGAGACTGATCCGTGACAGCTGAGACTCTGTCAGCACATTGAGCCCGGTGAAGGCCTCCCACAAAATGCTTCGATGTGCTGTGGATCTCTGTCTGGCTGCAATGGTTACTGTCAGGATCTGTCAGGGATATGTGAAGGTAAGGCTTACTGCAACAGGGATTTTTGACAAGGAGAAAGGGACCAAGGAGAAATCGGAACGCGAATCCTGCGAAGAATCCGCCTGAATCTGCACGGGCAGCCGCTGGTGGTCTGAGCAGGAGCTCAGGAATCGGAGGGCTTACTCCTGCTAGTGTGTCTCGTCACGTTCGGGTGGTGTTTCCGGGCATCCTAACAGATCCCAAGCATCGCCATGTGTCAAAGAAAACTCTTCATGACAGCAACTCCTCAAGCAAGGCTCCTGTCACTTCTACACACACACACACACAATCATAGATTCACAGATTCACACACTCCTAGTACCATGATAACTCGATAACTCTAAGACCCCCCCCCCCCCCCGCCTGCCCCCCCCTCCTGCCGCGCCGGGCCTGTGCTCCCGAGGCCAAGCCGGCCGGCCCCGCCATGGCCCCAGCTGAAGGCTCCGCTCGGGCCCCAGGCCTCCACGTTTGCAGTTAAGAAAAAGGGGATTTTCTTCTTCTTCTTGGGTTGACTCGAGGGTGACCCGAGGGGGATACTACGGTTGCTACAGTATTTACAATGAGAGCCGCTGGAAGAGCCACCTGTAGGGGCACTCCAGGGTGGGTGGCTCGAGGGGATCTAGGAGAGCTTCAGGGCTTGAGGATTCCGCGTGAACGGCTTCAGGTTTTGCTTCAGGCCGCGAGAGGATGAGAAGCCAAGGAGAGAACACTCTTCGAGCACGGCCCTAAACCTCCAAGCCTGTAAGCTGACAAGCAGTTCGGCAAACATGGAAGAACGGGGCTCTGACAACAGAGTGGCAAGCACCCGCCGCCACGCCGATGGCTCCTCCGACTCGAGCCAGACGATGAAAACAACGAGCGACATTACCAAAACTTGAACTAACAGTAACTAACACTTCTTTCCATGAACATTCTACGATGGTTTCCTGTACATCAAGGAATCACAGAGCTACTTCTGCGACTCGCAGTCTGTTGTTGGGAACTCCGAAGCGCCTCTGCTGGCTTCTGCGATGGCAACCTGGCGACGATCATTCCAGCCGCTGTCATTGCAGAGAATACGCGCAGGTGTCGTTTTGCTGGCCTGGCCGGTTCCACAGCCGGCACACTGGCCGTGGTCGTCCTCACCGATGGCGAACACCGAGCCTGCCTGCAGCTCCGGGCTGAGTCAGCACTTCGCCACCATAATCAAAGTCCCAGATACCGCCGCCTTGGTCAGCAGCAGCACGTGCCGCCAGCCGGCCGCAATTCGCAGAACCTCCATCAAGGTGACTCATACCAAAACTTCGTGGCTCACAACGAAAACACGGAGAAGACGGGATATGATGTCGGTCCGCGTGACAGTTCCCCGAGCCTGGAGCTCCAGACCTCAGAAAGAGGAAGGCGGGAACACGAGCGAGGGGGCAAAAGAAACGTCCAGATCGCTGGCTCTTTCAAGAACTGCACGAGCTGAGAAGCCGGCTCCGCCTGGGACAACCTCGGAGTTGTCTTCAGTCGAAGCTAGCTTTTTGCACCGAAAGGAGAACAAGCACAGACGAGCCCGTGGGCACTTCGAGGAGGTCTGACCCTCTGCCTCTCTGTCTAGGCGAAACCCTGGAGCCCCCCCAAGTGCTGCCCGGTGCACCCCAAAGGTGGCGCAGCGTGCATGTGTCACTGCCCAGGGAGCGCAGCTGACCATACAAGAACACCTGGCAGGGACTGTCGGCATACTTCGAGTCTTCGCCAAGGAATCGGCGATCTCAGGCAGGACGCCTCCCCAATGTCGCTGAGGATGTACGAGTTGGAGCCACCAGCAGCAATCGCCTGGTCACGTATGTCCCCCTGCATACCTACCTGCCAACCTACATACACACATTCAGTACAAACCACCGATCGATCGAAAACCCTGTGTCACTTCTCCGGCCTTCAATGATTTATGTTCTACACAGCATCAGAGAGCCTTTTTGCTCAAAAAAACTCCATGAGGCGCTGGCCAAGGGGCGCAGCGTCTCTTGCGTCTCGGAAGCACCTGAAAGCATCTGGGAGACGAACGAGTTGTGCTCTCAGCTGCCTCGCCTATGAGGTGCAACTTCAGGAGTCATCTTTTTTCACCATTCACGACATGCATAGGGAGATGCGTTCTTAATTCAATTTACAACGCTGCGATTCCACACAAACATCTTTGTGCTTCACCAAATGTACTGATGAGCATCTTTGCTGGTTCAAGGCTCGGCATCTGCATTGCAGTCGCCCAGCTCTGATTTCAACTGGCACCTCCATGAGTCCATGAGTTGGTTGTCGACCATGCACGTAGTCTGAGTCTACCTACCTGCGTTTGTCTCGCGAGCATGAAGGGGCCCGAGCAGCGCTGGTGTTGATTTCAAGAGCATCGGTCAGACACGGACAAGGCCATGACCGAACTCGGCAAAACTACGAGAAAAGTCGGCAGCTGAGCGATTGATTCACAGCTAGCGTGCAGCGATCAAGAGAGCCGGACAAAAGCCGGGTACAGCGGGCGAAGCCTGCTTGCTGCTTCAAAGGGACACGCGACGAAGACTGCAACTCAGAGCAATGCCAACATGGGCCTGAAGATAAGTATGTTGAATTTATTCTTTGCGGTTTTCATTATGAAATCCGCGCTGTCCCAAGTCTGTTATCTGTCATCTATGGCGCCAACAGCCAAATGAATGAGGTCTGGGACTCTATCGCTCCCGACTTCACACCCCCACCTGGTGACGAGCAGTCACCTCGAACTGTGAAAGGGGCACAATTTGGTGCACCTGGAAATGCCACGGACTCATACGAGTTACGCGCTTCTGGAAGTCTGGCTGTACGAAGGCTTTGAATCCACATACCTGGTGAATGATGAGCGAGTGGCACGGATTTCAGGAGTGTCAGACCGATTTCATGCCTTTCCATGCTGCTGACTTGAAATGTCTTGCACGCAGCCGTCAGCTCTTGCAAGACACAGGCGGGATCATGACCGAGCTTGCAAGACATGGGCGGGATCATGACCGAGCCCGGCAAAACTACATAGATCGCTTGTAGAGCAGCGATCAATGATACCCGACAGAAGCCGGGTGCAGAACAAGCCTGCTTGCTGCTTCAAAAGAAGGGACGGGCGACACCGGCAAGCACTTACACGTACTGTACCCCCCATACCCTTGCCATGTCCTATCTGCGAGATTCTGACAGAAAGAGACCACACCTCAGTAGACAGCCTCCGATGCCTGCCCCCTAAGTCTGTTATCTCATCTACATTGGAACAGCCAAAGCCAGTGGAATGAGGTCTGGGGCGGCAAGCGCGCCTCACTCCACATCCTGGCATGGCGTGAGCTATCATCTCGAATTGTGCAAGGCTATGCGTGGCACTATCTGGCACACAAGGTAAGTTTCCCTGCATGCCAAAGCGCTATAGAGAAATCTGAATTCAGTTGGTACTATATAGTGATATGCAATTTTCTGGTTCTTCGGGTGCATCGCTCTGACCCGAGGCGAAGAGGTTGCGAAGTCCTCGAAACCTGCTTTCCCAGGCCGTTCTTCGTCTTCAAGCATCGATAACACACTGCATCGTCAAGCGTCTCGCACGTTCTAGTGCCAGGGATCCTGTGCGCATCGCTGACTTGATCGCCATTGCCTTTGCATCACACCGGAGAAGTGTCACCTCATTGTCCTTCCCCAGCGCGTCACCCAAGACCTCGTTGGCGGAAAGCCGACGGTCGCGGCTGATGAGATGCTGTTCACATACTGGAACTCCCGCCGTCTTGGCGATGAGCTTCTGGGCCTCTGCCACAGTCGCCGCCAGGTTCACAGACACCGTGCAGAGAAGGCCCCCAAGGCCCACGATGCGCAAAGATGCTTGCACTGCGTCTGCAGGATGTGGATGGGCCCCAGGCCGAACGGGCTCCACACCCGATCTCGCCTTGTGGCGTCGAGCTCGAACCACCGGGGATGGCGACATTGCAAACAGCGCAGAGGCGAACAGAAAAGGGGCGGACGAATCTGAGACCCTGGCGGAAGATGGCAGAATGCAGAGCAGCCATGCAAGTTCAGGCAGGATCCACTGCAAGCGCTCGCCAGCCGCGTGGCTCCCAGGGCCATGACACTCCAGGGCTGTGGGGATCGGGTTGATGGCTCCCGAGGCCGTATCGGCTTCACCCTGCATGTCACACTGGCAAGCCCGTGCAGAAGATCTGCTGCAAACCGCCCTATTCAGCCTCGGATGTTTCCGACCGGAATCCTGAGCCACATGCCAGGCTCTCCATCTCTTCGGGAGCACAGAGAGCTTTGCACGGCCTTGAAGAGAACGATCGACTGCCTTGAACCTCCAGCAGATGTCGGGCATCAGCTACACACAGCACCCCCCCGTGCACAGGCCTGGTCGATGTGCACTGCAATCCCCACCTCAACAGTGCTGCGGTGGCATGCTGCGATGCTCTCACCTGTCCTCCTCCACACTCGCCACCCAAGGCTCCCACCGGTAGACCTTGCCTTTCACGAGTGCCAGGGAGTGGTCGTTCCCAAGTGCGACAGAGGACACCTCCACCTTCCCGGACATTTCTTGATGAAAGTTTCACGGATCTTTCAAAGCTCTGCCTCCTCCCCGCAAGCCTCAAGGAAGCTAACAGGGAACGCCTGGCGGCACTGTTACTGGAACATCGCACTTACACAAGGGTCCCCCCCTCGCTCACGGACCTCTGGTCGGCAAGGAAGATCCTCGGCCCGATCCTGGGATGCTCGACAGTTGAAGCAGAAGAAGGAGACCAAGAATTGTCTGTGAAGGTCAGCGAGGAGCAAGGCCCTCCATCTCCGAGGCCTTGACATGTCCGAGCTCACCAAGTGTGCCGCAGCCGAAGGTGAAGAGCCTGCAAAAGGCCACGCCACGCCTTTAAAGGCACTACACCACTGCACCACTGCGCCCCCACAGAGACTCTCCCACTGCCTGGTCCCCGGAGCCGGCTGATCCACGCTGGCGGCCATCCGTCCCCGGCTCCATGGCTCGAAGGCTCTGCCTCTCTGCCCTTGCCTCTCTGCACTGTTCTACTTATCGGACTCATGCGACGGTGACTGGATGTGACCGGTTAAAAAAGGGGGCCCATGATGGCCATGGCCCACGTGCTGCTGCCCCCTCGCAAATGCAACGGCCCGCGTCATGCGAAGCCCAAGGAGAACGAAAGCGTAGAGACCAAGAACAAATTGGAGTCCAGGTCTCTTCTCACAGGCTTGCTTGCTGCATTCTACATCATTCTACCGACGGCCCGCATCTTGCATGAGAAGGCCAAACACAAACGCGCCTGTGGCCACAAAGAAAGCGAGCGCATGAGCGGCGCTCTTGTGGGCCCTGCAGCGCTGCAGTACACTTCACGGCTCCGCACGAAAAACCACAACTCCGTCAACTCCCCGAGCTCTGAAACTCCAGTGGAATTGCGCCATAACACTGAACTTGAGGCCCCGGGCATCTCCAAGCCGATGTTGACCAACACCTTGTAGTGCGCCTGACAACACGGCGAAAGCGCCTTGCCCTGCGCCCTGCGACTCGACGACTGCCGGCCTCATCTTCGAAGACCGGCTGCCTAGGGACGAAGAAGGGCTCGCAGGTGGCCGTGGGGTCTTCGCCCACCTCGCCTGAGCTTCGCTTCCTTTTGACTTCTCTGCGGCTGTTGCCATTCCAAGAAACCTGCCTTGCACGCGAGCCAGCCTCTGGAACTCCTGGGCCATAACTGACAGCCCCATGTTATTGAAATACCGAGCACACACGTCACTGTAGTGGCTTCCGCCCTTCGGGCTGTTCAAGACCTTCGTTGAGCACCGTCGCTGTCGAAACTGCTTGAGATTTTTACGATTTATCTGATCTTTCCTCGGCTGGACCCACATCCTATCCGGCAGCACCCGGGTTTACCGGCCGAAACTCGCAATGCTAAACTCTGTTTCCCGTCGCATTCTGACGACAGCGTGTTGAGCATGCAGCATGTCGAAACTCTTGGCCCAAGATTCTACTTCAGCAAACAGCGCGAGCAAACGGCATCACAGCATGGCTTCGCAACAGCACAGGAGAATCAATTCGCACATCTTGAAGAATTGCAGAACCACCCCCATGGACCTGGAACGGTCTGGAACCTGCTTCCCTGCGTGATTAGGCTGTCCTCAACAGAATTGATCCGTGATGTCACCTCGGGCGCCTTCAACGCAAAGGTGCGAAGGGCCTGGCCCACGAGACGGTAGGGAGGCAGAGTACGCGACAAGAGCAAAGAGCCGCCTCGCGTGTGGAGACATCGCTGCACAAGTCGAGGGGTGTGGCCCCCCGCTTGTTCTGAACGTGCGGGTTGATCTGGGCCTGGTCGTCGCGACGACACATGATACTTACATGCTTTCCCCTAGATGGTAGCTTATTACACTGCGTATTCTGCAGAAATCTAACATTGGAGCCATGGAGATCAACACGGGACATCACTGGACTCAACATATTCAAAGCTGGTCATAAACGTAAAGTTTAAATTTCCGTCCACATGCGCACAATGCCCAGTGTGTACCATGTGACGTGTCTACATAAAGATTTAAAATGTATGTGTGTGTGTGTGTGTTAGCATATGGCTGTATCTTGACATGTCATAGCGTATATCATATGCAATTTGGGTGATGTGGGCTGTATTATAGCGAAAACGGGCTGTAGTTATGACGATATGTCATGTACAGCATACACCGCGTCGTGTGCAACATCAAACATGCATGCTCCACGCCACTTTAGACACGTGCACATGGACCCCCTTGAAGAAAGCCCGTATGAGTAGAGAAAAACATAGACAAATGCTGGGCTCTCAGATGAGTCTAGTGATTCACTGAAGCGTCATTTTATTGCATTTTGGTGCTATTGGAGAGTACAGATTCATTTGCGGATGTATCTGCAAGCACATTCGCTTGTCTACCGATTTTAGAGCGAGTTGGCCCCAAAGCGCAAAGAACTCCGCTCAGGATGTGTGAGCTTCCACCGGTGCCAGTCTGCAGAGCTCTGTCCAGTCTGCACACTGTGTCGCAGAGAGCCCCTGAGCCCATCTGCCTGCAGGAGCAGCTGAGTCAGCTCACGGCCTCGGCCAGCAAGCCCCGCAAGCCCCGCAACAGCTACCTGTAGTGTGCGCCGTTACATCATCATTGTCACCGCACAACACGACTTACCGACGGCCCACGGCGCACGACAATGAATCTGACACGGACCGATACTGGCCTGAATCTCACTTGAAGATTGGGAGGGCTTCCTGCTGAGCTTTGGGCGCCCCATCATTGCTGCCACGTGGAGAGGCCTTGCCACGCAACTCGTTGCGGAGGCTTCCGCGAGGTGTTTGGCTCTCGGGAAGCGAAGGTCTGAAACACGGAAACATAGGCCTGACCCGAAACCCTAAACTTGTAAGTGGTAAGACACCGAAAGCCGAAGCTCACGCTTTGCTTCCGTGCCACAACATCTCCTGTGCAATCTTGTGTAGTATTGTAGTAACTTGTAGTAGACATCTTGTTCGGAGAGAGGGAGCGGTGCATATAATCATCTGCCGATCTTCGCCACTCCAGCGATAGGACCGTTCGGGCAAGAAACGAGTTTCCAAAAGGAGGCATCCTGACAAGCAAGACCGCAGACGACACACGAGACTTCCGACACGAAACCGCTTACCGTCGAAAAATTGTGCACGACTGTTTACTTCTTGCATTAGCCTGCAAGGGCTGCACAAGCAGCAGTCTGGAGCTCGTGTCACGCACAGTCTCTGGATGCGACCCTCACCGGAAATCTAGGGATCCAGCGTCCAACCTGCTGAATCTGTTGCATCCAGCGGCAGCTCCCGTCGGAGCAGCTCCTCCGGCTCTTCTGGTTGGAAAAGGAAGCTGAGAATAGGAATGATCAAGTGAATCAAGAGGATGATACAATCATCCGCGTCATCATCGTGCGATGGAGGATGGCTCCGGCAACCGTGCACCGTGCATGCCGCCTATCTTCGCTTGGGGCAAGGAGCCCTGCAATGCCCCGTGTCTTCACGCCCAACACACTTCACGGCACCACCGGAACAAGGTCTTGCAAGGTATTCAGCCCCCGCTGGCCTGGGCCACCAGGAAGCTTCCGCTGCGGCAGGCCGCGTGTAGCAAAGTGGTCCCATTTCGATCGCGCGCCTGTGGCAGTGCGCAGTCTCTCGCTTTGCAGCTGCCCCAGTCAAAAGGATGTCAAAAGCATGAGAAGAGGTCACTCGCTCGCTAGCGCTTGCTGCCCATCCTTGGCGTTGGCACCCAACAGCATCAGCCAGCGCAGTGCGACCAGGTTGGAAGTGCCAGCAAAGATCAACCCCTGCGCAAGAGACGGCAGCGTGGCCAGCCATCGGAATCTTCGACTTAGGCTGAACGTTCCCGGAAGCTGATTCTCGAGGCTTGCGGCCTCCTGGTCCCGAGGTGGAAGCCCAAGCAGGGTTTCTTGGAAGACGGCACCTGCCGGATCACACCTTGGTACTGAAGAAAGGCAGCCAAGAGCTCAGACTTGTAGGCAGACTCCAAAAAATCGGAAGCTGCTACTCAGTAGCGGCTACTGCCCGTCTTTTAGTCATGTTTGAATTTTTTAGCAGAGTGATGAGCGGTGTCCGAATCTAACGATGCAGTGACAAGTATCGCGATTGCCGTCTCAGAGAAACCATCTTCTGCAAGCAAGGACGCGTGCACACTCTGCTGAAATGCCATGTTCCCACCCTGTCTAGGCTCAGAGTCTTGCGTGCGTCAAGCTTGCGTCAAGCTGCGCCGTCGACGAGCCCAGACCCACCACGACACCCTTTGAGCCCGCGGCTCCGGCTCATCGGCCTCGCGGCTCCTGGAGCTTCCGACACTCGAGATCCAAATAGAGTTGCTCTTCCGTCCCCCGGTCCCCCGGTTGCCCGGCCTGGTCTCGAAGTGCAGTCGCGCACACTCGTCCACGCACGACCTGGCTGAGGCGCGACTCAGGCACAGATTGGACTGGATCTAAAGCATGAAAATCTCGGAGGCAGGGGATGGCATGCAATGAAGGCGTGATTAAGGTGAGCTGGCGCCACTGCGGGGCGCCGCCGCACATCACTCGATTGCCCATCGGCCCTGCAACACAGGAGGCGAAGGCTGTGATGTCTACCACCGTTGGCCAGTGCATCGGTTTTCGGTGCTTTCGAGTTTCAACAGCTGAGAACTGAGACATCTTGAGACGGATCTAGAGGGGATAAGGGAACAGAGTCGAAGTCGAGCAAGGCCATGACACTGACGACATCCTGCTGCCGACCTGCAAAGCAGCATCAGCCTACCGCGGAGTGGAGGCAGCAGTCCATGACACGTGCTGCACGGCGCACAGAGACCAAGAAGCCGCCAAGATCAGTACAGTGAGGTTCGGGCTTGAGGTGGATGACTGTGGGACTGCGGGAGTGCATTGTAGCAGTGTCGCAGTTGCTGGGTGTGTTGGGTACACCCGATCTACGGGCTAGGCGGCTTTTCCAAGCGTCCTGCGACTGTCATTGTGAGGTGCAGCTATTTGAGTCTTGTCGCTCAGAGCTTAAAAAAACAGAGCCGAGGCCGGCCGCAAGGTCCAAAGCTGCCTAGTCGCGGACCCACGAACGGCATTTCGACAGCTGGCTGCAGGGCATGGCGCGCATGTTTTCCTCTTGGCGAAGAGCGGTCGCCGCCAAATGTCGACCCTCTGGGACTTCAGGCCCCGAAGCACTGCAAAGTTTGAAGTGCACTAGACGGTCAGTGCATGGCGGCCATCTGAGGAAGAGTCTGCCACAACTGTGAGAGCAGCGATGAGCAATGAAGGCGTGCTGGGCTATGCTGGGCTGGTGTCAGGGGCGGTTTTCCACATAGATTCCTGCGGCGCCATTCTGAAGAGCACAGTCCTGCCGGGCAGGCCCCGGTCCCAGCAGGCGCGAAACCGATATCAAGCACAACTCAGGCACCTTTGGACGCAGACGGAAAGGCTGCAAGGCAACAAAAGGCAACAAGAACTCGGGGGGTGTCCAGGATGGACGGATTGTACTGCAACTCGCGCTCCCAGTCGTCGGAGACGTCCTGAGGCAAGGAGTGGAAGCTCGGAGATTCTCTGCTGGCGCGCTCCGAGCTCCTGGAGTCCCAGGACGCCGATGGCCGAGCCCGGCTCGCCTCCGACGCCCATGGGCAAATCGCAGCAGCGGTACCTCCGATAAAAACCGCTGGATCCACGCTGCGCAGCCGGACATCACCGAGGATGGGGCCGTGGGCCGTAGCTGATGCCACCCACCTGCAGCAAGGAGCCGATGCTTGCGCCCCGCTGCGCCGCTGCGCCGCTGGCGCGCTGCCCCCCTTTCTGAGTTCCGGGCCCTGAAGCTGAGGTAGAGATAAGGCTTTGGACCGGTCCTGAGCACAAAGCTAGAATGGACAGAAGAGAAGCAGCGGAACACGACACTGTGAGGTGCTGAGCTCTGAGCAGCAGCTTGTTTTTCAAGCCCAAGCCCTGCAGTGCAAACTTTGACTCAAGGCATTCAAACATCCTCGCATTGACTCGGACTTGCCTGGACATCAGCGCCGGGAGGAGGCTTGGGTTTCTCACCAGGAACTGCCACATTGGCCCCTGAAGCCAGCAGCTCAACTTCAAATATTCCTGGTGCTCGACACGTCGAGGCTGCGGCCGTGCTCTTTGAGAAACTGGAGGTACGTGGCTGGATCCCGAGAGATCACTTTCTGCATTGCTGCCTCAAGCACCACATCTGTCAACAAAGTGCAAAACTTCGATGGTTGGGTGTTGGGAGGTTCTGTCTGACGGTTAACCGGCCCTGACGCATACTCTCAGCATGTACCATGTCCAGGTGAGAGCAGGTGAAACCCATGAAGCCAAGACCCGCGCATCAACATCACTCTGCTTGAGGGCCATCCAGAAATCCTCCAGATTCTTGTTCGCATCGTCGAACTTCTCACCATCCTTCACCGTGCTCAGCAGATGGTGGTGAATCTCACACTGCCACATACAGGTGATGCGGACCCGCCTTCCTCTCCAGCTCGCGTGCCAGGTCTTGCAGGAGGAGCCTTACAGAGAATGGAACTCAGACGGATTGCCGCCGTTGCGATCTGCTGCTTCATGCTTCTTCATGCTGCAGCTGCAGCGGTCATCAAGGTCTCCGGCCGAACATGCCCTGTTTACTCGCAACATGCACACCATCTGGCCCTCTTTCCGAACTCTTGGGAGAAAGAAGCCCAGACGTGCGAAAGGCAAAGCAGAGCAGCGTCAAGGCTGTACAGATCGCTTCTCGTACGAACTTCGCCAAGACACAATGCTTCGCGTCGATTGGGTGCCTCAGGGCACAGGTCAGCCAAAGCCTGAGACGGTCGGCGAGTTCGGCGAGCCTTGTCGATCTTTCCCTTGGCTGCGTAAAGCTGCGTCAGTGTCCGCTTGAGAGCCTTCAGAGTCTGTGCACGAACGTTTTTTGGGATCGCTGGCAGAGCACCAAAACGCCACGAAGCACCAACAACGCCAAAACTATCTCCGCAAACCTTGCCACACCTGGAAGACTCGAGCCAGCGAAACAAGCCTAAACCTGTTGCCGAGCTGGAACGCTGCGGTGAAGAGTCCAGACTAGTCGCTACCTGTCCTCAACATCGAACAAGAATTTTCACCCATGCTGGAATCCTGGACTGCTACACGTGCTAGACCATGGCGAAAGAAGCCCTCGATACGAGTATCATTACAGCGTCCGGCCACGCCTTCTCCTCCAAGGCAAGGCCCTCCTTACGCGCCAGCTCCAGGGCAGCCTCACTGACACTTGAAGCGAACGCGCGGCACCAAAATCTCCTCAAACCTTATGCGACACGGACATCATTATGCAGTGATGCAAGTGCTGCTGCTCCCTCGTGAGCAGCTTGTTTTCGGAGACCGCGTCGTTCACAGCAGCTGGACTATTGGCTATTTCGAATCGCATACCAGGGCCGACCAGATATGGCATCACATCAAGGTTTTGCAGACAGATCAGTGGTCTCTGATGGTCTCTGCAGTTCTGAGATCTGAAGTCCTCTTTTCAATTCGATGCGAACGGAAATCAAAGTGGAAGGTCAAGGAGACGCATGCAGCAAATGCCTGGGCGGTGTTGAGCGCGTAGTCTGGGAAAGGGGACCTCGGCACAAACAACCAACGCCTTGCAGCACACCCTGCTGGTCAGCAGCTTCCTTTCGGCAGCCAAGCAACATGGTAGCCAGCTTGTGCAGCATGAGAACCTGCACATGGGCAGGAGTCACATTCAAATGCACACAAGAACAGAAGCGAAAGCCTGCCATGGCTGAACATGCTGGTTCTAGACAATTGGCGGTCATTCTGCTTGGCATATCGTGTCTTGACCCTCCTAGCACCTCTCCACAACACAGGTCCAACGTGGCGCCGGACCAGTGTTGGGATTCATAAACTGAAAGGACACTGTTAAGCTGACGAGGCCTCGCCGCTCTTGTTGCCATCTGCCCGGAGCTTCTCGACCTTTCACGATCCGATGCTTTCATGAATCAACAGCGGAAGCCCAAACTGCAGGCGTGGGAACATCTAGAGTCCTGACTGCGATGAGACAGGCCCTTATGTCGAAGGTGGACTCCGCACGCACGGAGACAAAGACTACTGAAACTTTCATCTCAAGTTGGATACTTACTGCGATCCTGCGGGTATATTAAGAATGCTCGCAAGAGAAGCGACTGTTCATCCCCAATCAGGATGCAGAGTGCCATTTTTTGGGCGAGGCTGCAGCACGACCTGGACGGTCTAGGTCCTCACGGGAAAGGTGCCAGCAGCAATTTCGAGGGCAAGCTCTGCAGGGTCTAGAAGCAGGCATTTGCTGATCCGGCAGTCCTTCTCATTGACAGTCCAATTCTGTCACCATCAATGGACGACACCCACACCGTGACCTGTTCAAGCAAACAATCGCCTCTCTCGACGGCCATTCTCTCAATCCACATCAGTGCTTCCGCCTTCTGCCCTTCGGACACGTGGTCATGCGGATCGTCGACCTGGTCTCGAACAACTGCTGCTGCTACCGCTGCTGCCTCCAATGACCTCTGATTGTGATAGAAAGAACTTTGGTGATCAGGGTTCCTCTTGTCAGGTCGCTTCTGACACCTGGGGCTGCCACAAAACCATCAGCGAGGCGTGAGATGTGCACAAGCCCAGATCTCTCCGCCCCGATGTCGACGAAGGCACCGAATTCCCTGTCAGACCCACGCGTGAGACGCTTGCGCAGACCGTCAAGACCGTAAACAGGGTCGAGGGTCGTTAAGAGGAAGGCGGACCGGGACGAAGCCTGATGCTCTCCACAGTGCCCTCGAACTCATCACCGACCTGGGCGATCAGCGTGAAGATCTGGATGCTTCTCAAGACAACAAACTTTCTGAGAACGTGGCATTCATGCTGTCGATGGGATTGATCACCTTGTGTCGTGGCACAGCTCGGGGTTCAATGGCCTCGAATCTCAACGTTCCGCCAGCCTCCCGCGGCTGCCGCGGGCCACGTCCTCCTCCCATTTTGCCTTCCTGAGATTTGCCGATTGTCGCAGTACAAAAGGAAACAAAGCTGTTCCACCCTCTCCTGAACGGAAGGGAGCCCGACCTCCCAAAACCTTGAATCGAAGCTGTCCGTTGAGAGACTTCTTGAGGGACTATACATGACTCGCCTTGTCATGCCTTGTCATGCCGTGTCTGTCAATGCAGAATCTCGATTGGGAACAAAGTCCGGGTTCCAAGTTTGGAGCTGTGATGGTCAGTGGTCAGACCGCTGAACACAGGGCTGAACGTTGCAAACTCTCGCACGATATGCACAAGAGAACCGAAGCTGGAAGACTCAAAGCGCTGCTGTAATGCCCTGAAGCTCGAAAAAAAATGAAGCTCGACCACGTTCGAACACGTCCACTCATGAACTCAGCCGCTAACTCAAATCAAGTTGCAACCATCGTAAGGCCGAGCCTGTTGTTTTCTGCGTCAATGTTGGTCACCTAACATGACATCAGACATCACTACCAGGCATGCCACTGGCCATCTACTCGAGCGCCCCACCCAAACATCCAGCTCTTGATCTTCCTCCACATAGTCGTGCACATTATCGACGCGACCTTGCGCCATTTTGGATATGTGTACAAGGCCGTCGGTGTGGCAACCTGAGCTCCAGTGCAGTGGAAAATTTTTGCACCTATGAAACAGGAGTAAGGCCACGGCCAACATCAACGAAGGCCCCGAAATCTCTTACTTTCATCACGGTTCCATGCAGCTTCTGCCCCACTTCCAACTTGTCAATGCCAACCCTTGCGCGGCAAAGGCCAAACAGCCAACGCTTCAGTAGACTAGCAGAAAACATTATATGATCAAAACGATCAGGTGTGGCTTACATCGGCTTCAGATTAATAGCGAGAAGTCCAGCCTAGGTATCTGGATGTTATCCAGCACAAGTTCGCTCTCTGGATCCCCTCCATCTGGATCTTCCCACCTGAAAGGTCACAACTCTCCCGTCTACGGCCTGCTCCCAGACCTGAAGCCTCAAGGTCCTATATTATAAGGGTTCCGGTTCTGTGAGGAGTTCCTTAAAGGGTTCTATACCTGCTGACGGAGACGCTCCACCAGGTACTTGAAGCTGCTCACCACTCCTTTGACAGTCGCGGCATACCATTCGCCATCGTCGGGGAACTTTGCCTCAACTTTTTGACCCTTCTTGAACTGTTTCTTCTGGGACCACATGTTGTCCAGAAGTACATCCTCCTCCGTCTCGTCTTCCACATACTGCACAGTCACACTGCCCTTTCCTTTGTTCTCTTGAACGATGGCAGTATAGCGCTTCCCATCTTCATTGCATTTTGCAACGACGAGGTCTCCCTTCTTGAAGTTCCTGGGATTTGGCCTCCATGCTGAGCACATGCGGAACATGCTCTGACGCTGGCCCACCAAGTCACAACAACGACTCCACTGGCACTCGCTGCTCGAAAAAAAACTGAGCTGTGCTGGGCGTGTCCGTGTGATTCGTGTCAGGACATGACCACAAAGCTCTCTGCGTTTATGCTGGCCTGAGATTGGTAATGTCTACAGTGTCTTCAGCATCATCCTCAATCCACTCGATGTCGAAGGTTTCATCGCCATTGTCTTTGACAATTCGAACCTTGACAGATCAAGCATTAACACGATCCGCACGATGCAGCCCGAGAGAGAGAGAGAGGGAGAGAGAGATATGGATGGAGAGCAGACAAACAAACAGATGTCGCCGGGCAAGCTGTGTATACGTAGATGCGTATCTATGTACACAGAAGAAAGCCAGAAGCAGAGGCCACATGACAGTTGCAGCCTGCCAGTTCCATCATGGTCAGAACCCGGAGTCAAAAGCTGCAAGAAGCGAGCCAAACATCCTTCCGTCATGCAGGTCCAGCCATGTTCTACCATCGTTTTCTCCCCCTAACACACCTGTTCTTGGGGGTATTTGTCCCACGCGACACTAGAATACTCCAGGCGTTCTCAAACTAGCGTAGCGCAGCTTTTACCCGTTAAAGCTGCTCTATGTCGGATCATGAAATGTGCTCCTTAGTCACACCATCATGATTGGCCGGTCACGGCTAGCACCCTCAGAAGCCTCAAGCTTCCCAGAGCTCAGCACACGGAAACTTCTGGATGCTTTTTTTCAGACAGGAGCTTACCTCGCACTCCGGCAAGTGTAGCCAGTGAACGCATTGCGCGTTTTGTAACGGAGCGGGCACAAAGTCTTTGCAGAGAGTCGAGTTCGACCTGCTAAGGCACAAGAGCTCGGTGATTCATCTTGTTTGTTCCGTGGGCTGTTCTGGCTGACAGGATACAATGTGCATGGAGCCGATGGCTTCAGGCGTACTGTGATGAGGTGCACAGCCCCTTTCGGCTCTTTCGCTGAGCTGGACGACAGCAAAGAGGAATCCCCGTGCTGCTTCAGGCTTCGCGTGTGTTGGCTGTGGTGACTCGGCCTTTGGCTTTTGATTTGCTGTGGTGCGTGCATGATCCACTGATGTCCCAACAGATCGGCCCCGAAGACAGTCCAAAAATGCTCCAGACCAAGACAAAGCAGCAATATGCAGCAGTAGAATCAGTAGAAAGGTGCGAAGCTTGGGCAAAAGCATGGCGAAGCTAATCCAGGGGCATCTGAGCGGCAGTGTAGAACTTTCCATCGTCGTGGAAGAGAGCCAAAGCCAGTTGTCCAGCCTCCCACAAACTAAAGCGACTGCACCACACAAGTAAGGAGCCTCCTATCACTATGTTTACAGGCAGAACAGCCAGAATGCAGACGCATATTTTCTTGAGCCAATGAACGACGGTAGGTACGGTCGACTAGCTACATCTTCCACAAAATACACCCCCCGCGCATCTTAGTGCAACGGTGGAGGCGAAGGCGATGGAAGGAAAGACTAGTCGCTAGACCGTCGAAGGTGTATCACTTTGTGATAACGAAAACAACTCGAAAACAAAAGTAAATTAAGCGGCCTTTGTTTCGCGCCCTTGCAGACTGTACGAGCTGGATGGTTACCAACCCGTTAGGGCGGTGCCAAAGCTTAAATCTCACTTCACAGCTAACCAGACGGCATCTAAACATCTCAGAATACCATCCCGTTAGGGAGGTGATCATGCTTGGCACGATGGGCCTCGCTCATGTGACCTCAGTAGATCCGGTCACGACGGTTGGTCCGGTAATTGTACACCTCGTGGACCCAACCTGAAAGGAACCACTGGACGTGAGATGTGTCCAGCATCGTGAAACCATGCGGATTTCCATGTGTCGGAATGACGTTGATCACCGATGTGGGCTGGATATAGTCCTCGGTCATTGCCGCGAAGACTGCCCATTGGTACATATCCACCCTGTGCCATTCCATGCGCCTGGCAAGTGCCGGGTCGATGACGTTGCCAGAGATGTCATTGCCGAGAACAAAGTTGGGATACAACAGCCCGGCGGCTCTCAGCTGGTCAAAGAAGTTGACCACGGTCTCGCGCATCCGGACCTCTCGGTCGGAGACATTCCTTGTCTCAAAGAAAACGCCGAAGGTCGGTGGGTCATGAGGCCGACGACGGTAGTTCTCGGACCACTCGCGTCTGGTGCTGAGATCAACAGCTGACGATGGAGCCTCACTCACCGTATCATCGTTGGAAGCAGCGGGAGCAACCGTTTCCGGTGCTGGGTTCTGAAAGCCCGTTCCAGCACGCATGGCGTCCCAGTCTGCATCGCTGATGTAATCGGATGGATCGCGATTAACCCGCCTGGGCGGCGGCATGGCCGGCTCTCTTGGGATGCGATCGGTAGAGGAGCCTGCAGCATCTCCAGGGTGCGTTCTGATGTGCACCTCGGTGGGGCGGTGCCTTGCGATCGGTGAACGTGTTCGATTGCGAACAGAAGGTTCCGATGCACGCTCGTCAGAGCTGCGACCACGCCTGGATGGAGAGGCAGGCGGTACCGGAGGGCGACGTTCGGACGCTGGGGCCGAAGTGGTCAAACGAACGTGACCGCTCTCTCCGATTCGCTTATCCATATAATACTGCTGGTACCGCCGATAGTATGGTGTGTTGGCCAAAAGTTCATTGAGCTGGCGTTTGCCAAGCCCTTGCGCCTCAGCGGGTACCTGCAGATCTCTCTGGGTGTGAAGAGTGGGATGAGTCTCCTCAATCCTTGTCCGGCTTAGCGGCAACTGAGCCTGGAAAAAGGTAGCCAGCTCGGCCATGATCGGTAAGATCTCATTCTGCATGACAATGTACTTCTCTCCGTCATACTGCAGAATAGAGAACTCATGCTGGTTCGACTTCACAGCCTTGATGAGAACTGCAATCTCATTGATGGTGTAAAAACCGATCATGGAAGCAAATCAGACACTCCGTGAGGAGGTCGATCTCAAGCTGACCTGTCAACCAAAGCAGGGCGATTTTCCCAGTGGCATCATAGTACGTGGAAGACCCATGCCCTTTGCCCTTTCCTTGAGGATTCGGGAGCCTCACGTTAGCGAAGCGTTGCAGCGCCTCGAGAGTGTGGAAGCTGAGACCCATCTTGGCATAATTGTGGGCAGTGATAGGGTCGACACTGTATTGCCCCTGCGGAGTCGTGTTGTGGAGCCTCTCCGCCCTCTTCTGCTGGTTGAGGACCTTTTGGCGAATGCCCGACGCTGTGCTCTGAATGCGCTCCCTTTCTTCTGGTCCCTGGATCTTCACCCGCTGACGGTTGAGCCCACCAGATGGTTGCAAGTCGATGATGTTGACTTGCCTACCCTCTCGGGCGGCGCTCCGCCTGAGTCTGTCTGGCTCGGCGATGATTGCAAGATCAGTCATCTCGATGAGACGACGTTGGCAGCCTGGGCAGGAAATCATGCCCTCGATGTACTTGTGATTGCATTGGCTGCAATGGTACCCGGGGTAGAGAACGAGCTCTTGCTTGATCCAGTGTTTTGGCTCGATCCTGGAGCGGAGTCTGATCCGCTTTCCTTCCATGGATGGCCACACATGGATACCAATCCCCAGCGAACCATCGAAGGTTCCAACGAGCTGGTCATTGGTCTGCCTTCGTTCGATCACCTCATCGCCCACTTCAGTAAGGGTGTCAGCAGAAACACGAAAAGGGGTCTTGCAATTGATGGCGACTGGTGCCCATTCAGCAATGGTCAAGTTCTCGGCGCCGTCCAGCAGATCCAAGAAGCAATTGTGCTGCTCCATAGCGAACTGGTCCGGGCCGAAGATGTACTTGCGGCCGCCGTCCTTATTCCAGCACGTTAGTGCGGAGTCAATGTTGCGGCGGAATGCCTGATATGCGGGATTCACCCACACAGGCTCAGCCGTGCCACGCTGATAAGCGTAGATTAGGTAGCGATTGCTTACCCAATCGGGCGTTTCCAGTGCCCCGGAGCGAGTCTCGAATAGCCTAAGGCCATCCAAAACAGCCATTTGGAGATCGATAGCGAACTCGACGTCCGCCGCCTCACGCAGGCCTGCATTGTCATCCCTTTGCCACTCTGGAAGCTTCGACATCATGACGAAAGCTCTGCTACCACTCTCGTGGAGCGAGGCACCACCTGGCAACAACCCGAATCTGATGATGTCTGGGAAGTGCCGCATAAAGGTACCATGGTAGCCCAGTTTGCATGGGAAATCAACGAACTCCTGAGAGTACATGTCGAAAGGATGGATAGCAGGCCGAGTCGCTAGACTGGCGTCCCATGGCACAAAAGAATGCACCACGGAGTGGATGTCGGCAAGCTCGGTTTCGCCGCTGAAAAGCCCCGACCAATGCCCATGGATCGCTCGAGCTCGAAGCACGTCAAATTCTTGATTGTTGTGCTTTTGAATGAAGAGCTCGTAGCGGGATTCCCATCGACTGGAGTCTTGAAGACTTCGAAGATCTGGGAGACCCTAAGCCCGTTCCAGATCTGGCTGAGAGCATCGATGAATTCCTCCCAGTCCATGGATAGGTCGTTCCGGCGGATCGACACCGTCGGTGTGCTATCCCCGTACTCCGGCTTGTTGGTGAAGCCTCTGAGGATGAAAGCACACTTCTTGCCAAGTGCAAAGCGCTTGCCCTCGCTGAGAGGGCGATGATCAGATGTAAAGGGTGGCAGGTCCAAGCCTGACAACCAAAACTGACCATCCCTTCCGGGAGGTGAAGCTTCTGCCTTTGCACCGGCAGCATGCTCTGCCTTTGGCGTAGGAGCCGACTTCACGGCGGTTATTGGCATCTTCTTTGGAGGCGGTGGCTGCAACGGCTCGGAGGGCCTGGCTCCAGATGCAGCAGACTTCCCACGGACCTCTTTGGGTGGAAGCGTGCCTGAGGCCGACGATGAGGATGCACCCTGCGGCGCAGCAGGAGGCACGGCATGAGCCTTAGTAGCCAAGGGCATCATTCCTGTGGCTTTGGGCTCCGCGGCAGCGGGCCGTGACTTCGGAGGTACTGCCGGTTTGATGGCTTCCTCCAATTGCATTTCCCTCATCAGGTTCTGGATGCCGACGGATCCCCTCGCGTAGAAGCGAGGCCTCTTGCTGAGTTCCTCTTCGTTGAGCTCTTCAATGCCCTTGAAGAGTCTGTTGGAATCAGCATCCTCGTTAGAGGTGCGACCAATCTCCAAGTCCAGACCATAGACGCCAAGGGCGTTTGCCAAGGCGATCTCTTCGTCTGTGGCAGCCTCTTCTCCATGGCTGCCAATCTGGAGCTTGGTGATCATGACTGAGGGATCCGAGTTGTCCTCAGTACGCTGGATCACGTTCTCGGCACCCGGTGTGGTATCCAGGAGGGCACGGTCAGTGTCAGTAAGCTCCTCGGGCTCAGTCGACAGGAGGTCCTGTCGCACGGCAAGCAGAGGGGTGCTTAACACAA